TCATTCCTGCCTGTGGCAGGGGTCAGGCTAGATGATCTGTTCAGGTCCCTCCTGCCCTTAGCTACTATGAAACTATGAATTGATTTGGCTGAATCGGCTTTGGAAGATTCGGAGCCGATTCGGAGAGATTCAGCCATAGAGTATAATGGGGAATCAATTAAATATCTATAAATTTGTTGTTTTTTGGCTGATTCAGATGAAACGTGCAGGGATAGTAGTCTCTGCTGAGGGCATGAAGACTGTCAAGTTTCAAAGAAATAGGTGCAGGCATTTCTGAGAAATTGCACCTCAAGCTGCTGACAAGCAAAACTCGTGTCAGGTGTGTGTTAAGCCACAGAGGGTGAAAACGGCAGGGGTGTTAGCCCCTGCTGAGGTCACAAAGTCTGCCAAGTTTCAAGTGGATAGGTGCAGGGGTTTCTGGGAAACTGCACCTGCAGGGACCTCAAACTGCAGGGGACCTCAAACTGCTGACAAACAAAACTCATGACATAGGTGACACTGTGTGTGTAAGGCACAGGGGAGTGAAAACTGCAGGCCTGCTAGCCCCTGCTGCAGCCACAAAGCCTGCTGGCAGTCAAGGAGATAGGTGCAGGGGGAGTCTGGGTTCTGGGGTCCTGCACCTCTGGCCGCAGGCAGGCAAAACTTGTGACATAGTTGGATGACCCTGTGTGTGTTCAGGTGTGCCCTTCCTGGCACTGGGGCCTCTGCACAACATGACAGTGTGCCCCAGTGAGGCTTCCTCCTCCCCTGCACCACTGTAAACGGCAGCAGGTTAAACTCACGTAGGTGGCTCAGCACCAATAGCATCTAAGGTAGCCTTTCTTTTTATAAAGGAATTGACAGCGAGAAGTAAAGATGTTGTGTTGGATATATATGACTCATGGTGTGTGATGGCTTATCTTGTGTTTTTATGTTTATATGTTTATCATGGAAAAAAAGGGAATAGTTAGAGAAATATATCTTCGGAAGCTTTTGGGTTGAAAAACCCTTTGTCAGGCTGAGGAAGTACCTGCAGTTGCCATGTCTCCTGGTCCTGGATGGAAGGAATAGTAAAGAAGCCAGAGGCTGGCCTGGCACGGAACAGAGGCAGGAAAGCCGGTCAGTGAAAATGGAAATGGAGGCGTCAGGTGGTGAGGATAGGCTGGGGGGGGGGATGTAGCTGCGCAGGTAAAAGTGCAGAGGTACCTGGGGAGTCAGCTGTCCGGCAGGTCGCAGTGTGTCAGAATACCACTGTGTATATTGAGTCCGTGAGTTTCTGTACCTACTACCTAGGAGGCTGATGAAGTGCAGTTCATAGGCCCGGCTCTGAGAAGTGGTTTGTACATTCAAACAAGCACCTAACTTCATCACCAGAACTGAAGCCAACTTCCTAGAGCTCAAAACACAAAACCTGCCAACTCTCTCCAGTACCCCCACAAGCTGCACACCAGACTCTATCAAAGACAACCAAACCCAACTACCGTGGGGCCACATTCCTCACCAAAAAACACTCTGCCTCCAGTCTCTCAGGCCTGATCCTGAGGCAACAAATTACAAGTTTATCAGGGGTGACCACCAGCATCTGGGGGAACGTTTGTTCACCAGAGCGCCCCAAGGGATGACGACTAGGTCAAATGGTCACAAACTACTTCAAGATCGTTTCAGGCTGGACATAAGGAAGAACTTCTTTACTGTCCGAGCCCCCAAGGTCTGGAACAGCATGCCACCGGAGGTGGTTCAAGCGTCTTCATTGAACACCTTCAAGATGAAACTGGATGCTTATCTTGCTGGGATCCTATGACCCCAGCTGACTTTCTGCCTTTTGGGCGGGGGGCTGGACTCGATGATCTTCCGAGGTCCCTTCCAGCCCTGATGTCTATGAAATCTATGAAAGTCACTTTTCACAGCCGGGCCTATGAACTGCACTTCATCAGCCTCCTAGGTACAGAAACTCATGGACTCAATATAGATTAGTCTGATCACACCAGTGCCCTGTGAGGGAGAGGCAGGCGTGATCGCCACCCCGGCTGCTCCAGATGTCCGAGGTGAAGTGCGAGGCTGCCTGCAGGCCTGCCTCGCCAGCTCCTCCCTCAAGTCCTCCCCACATGCCTCAGACAGGGAGTGCACCACCGTCCTGCTAACCGTGGTGCACGCGGGCACTTGGTCAGATGGCGCCACGAGCACCACGAGCCGCCTCAACCCTAGGGAGAAGGGCTGGCTGCTCTGGGCGATCTTGCTCGCCTTGGGAATGCGCCCCGCTGTCTGCAGGGTCCCCCCACCGCGCTAGGGTGGCCCGCCTCTGCTGGGGGGGAGGGGCGGGGCACAGCACGGGGGCTTTGGAGCCAGCAGGGGATTTCCCTTTGGGCAGCTCACACTGGTGCCCGGCTGAGCAGCAGGAAAGGCAGCGGGTACTGCCTCCTGAGACGCAGCAGCATTGCCCTGGTGGAGAAGCGTTTCCCCTCCTTGCCCGGCTGATCTGCCTTCGGGGGTGCTGCAGACAGCCGGCTGGGATCATCTGCCGGCTCGCAGCGCTCCCACCAGCTACTCGCCCGCTTCTGGGCTGAGGGTGGGGACGCTGCCTTGCCCCCCCTCGGCAGGCCCAGGCACCAGAGCTGAGCCACCTGCCTGAGCCTCCCTGACCTGCTTCCCGGGAGGAGCCCTGGGCCTAGGGGGACTCCAGCACTGCTCGAGCCAGCGCGCGCAGGTCCCCCGGCCCCGGCCCCGGCGGGGGGGGAGCGACG